TCTCTGGTGGACCAGCAGGTCCCAGTGGACCAGCAGGTCCTGATGGACCAGCAACTGGGTCAGTACCACAGCACTGCGGATCAGTGTGTCGGGGAGCTGCAGAAGGCCCAGAACCGGGCCGGGTCTCTGCAGGCCAAGATCAGAGAGAGTGAGACCAGAACCCAGGTTTGAGTCCCAGCAGAGCCCAGCAGAACCAGAACCAGAACCTTCAGCTTGTGTGCTGTCCTGCAGGACCTGCAGCAGTGTCTCTGGGACATGGAGCTGGGCTCGGCCCGGGACCAGGCCCAGCAGCAGGACCGGCTCATCCAGAACCTCAGCGCCACCCTCAGTGCCAAGGAGAGCCAGGTAAGACTAGCGGGACCGGGAGGGACCTGGAGGGACCAGGACCAGGTCCAAACCCGTGTGGTTCTGTGTGCAGGTCTCTGAGCTGCAGCAGGCCATGGAGGACCAGAACCGGGCCCTGCAGAGGCTGGAGACAGACCTGCAGGAGAGCCTGCAGCACAGGAGGGACACAGAGACACACAACCAGGTGGGTGGTCCTGGTCCTGGTCCTGGTCCAGTTCTGCTCCAGGTCCAGTCTCAGTCTATGTATGTGGGTTCTGCAGGAGCTGCAGGTCGTCCTGCAGGAGGTCCGGTCCGGTCTGCAGGACCAGNGACCCTGTCTCTGTCCCTGATCCTGTCTCTGATCCTGATCCTGTCTCTGATCCTGACCCTGTCTCTGTCCCTGATCCTGTCTCTGATCCTGATCCTGTCTCTGTCTCTGACCCTGTCTCTGACCCTGTCTCTGTCTCTGATCCTGTCTCTGATCCTGTCTCTGATCCTGTCTCTGACCCTGTCTCTGACCCTGTCTCTGTCTCTGATCCTGTCTCTGATCCTGTCTCTGACCCTGTCTCTGACCCTGTCTCTGTCTCTGATCCTGTCTCTGATCCTGTCTCTGATCCTGTCCCTGTCTCTGTCTCTGATCCTGTCTCTGATCCTGTCTCTGTCCAACCTGCAGCGAGCCCTGGACGAGAAGATCCGATCCGAGGAGCAGAAGGACGAGGACTGCCGTAGTCTTCAGCTGCTGATCCGGGAGAAGGACCTGGATCTGGACCGTCAGCGCTGCGTCCTGTCCAACAACGAGGAGACCATCTCTGTATGTCCAGCATCATGTCTCCTGCTGGACACGTGTCCCGCCTCAGACTGTCTCACTGTGTCCTCAGGAGGACTAACTGTCTCTTTGTGTCCCAGAGTCTGGAGGCGCTGCTGAGGGGGAAGGTTCTGGAACTGGACCGGGTCTCTGAGGCCTGGAGGACCGTCCAGAGACAGCAGCAGGACGGAGAGGACCGGCAGACCCGGATCCTCAGGGAGAGGGACGTCCTCATGGACCAGCTGCAGGAGGCGCTCCGGGCTCGGACCCAGGAGGTTCAGGTCCAAAACCATTTTAATGTCTCTTAAAGTCCAGCAGAACCGGGCTGGCTGCAGGTCCACTCAGCAAATTTCAAAATAAGACTGTAAAGGTTTAATTTTAATTTGAGGCTTTTATTTTGACGGTCATCTTCCTGTCGGCTGCAGGACCTGCGCTGCTCCCTGCTGGCTCCAGTCCGCTCTGTTCCCAGCCAGGTTCTGGAGGAGCTGAAGGCCCGCCTCCAGCTTAAGGACCGCCTCTTTCAGGAAGTGTTGGCCGACCGGACCCGTCAGGCCCAGGAGCATCAGGACCAGGTCCAGGATCTGCTCAGAACCATCAGCTGCAGGGACCAGTACCTTCAGGTACAGTAGTGGACCAGAAGCCCGACCCGTTAGGTAAGTTTCACAGGGACTAAGAGTCCACGGTCTCCCTGCAGGACTCGGCGGCCCAGTTCGGAGAAGTTCTGGCCGAGCGGACCTCCAGGATCCAGGAGCTCCGCAGACAGCTGGGCTCAGGTTCTGGATCCCAGCAGGGCTCGGGTCCAGAGCTGCAGGTACTGCAGGAGGAGCTGCGTTTGGCCCTGAGGAGGGAGCAGGAGAACCAGGACCTGAGCAGGAGTCAGGCGGTCCAGCTGGACTCGCTCAGCAGGACTCTGAACCTGAAGGAGGACCTGATCCGGGTCAGTGTTCTGGTTTCACTCCTTGTCCCTCAAAATGGCCGCAGCAGGAACTCCCCTGCTTGGGGTCCGGGCTGGACTTTATGGTGGTCTCTGAGTCTGTTTCTGTGACCTGCAGGACCTGCAGAGGCAGCTGGTGGTCCCGTCGGACCTCCCTCTGGTGGAGCGACTCACCCAGGAGGTCCAGGAGCTGAGGGAGGTTCTGGTCCAGCAGGAGGCTCCTGCAGCCGGAGGTGGGCATCAGAGAGGCGGGGGGCGGGATTTGTAACTGCCCCTGAAGCCCCTCCCCCTGGGGGGCGGGATTTGTAACTGCTCCTGAAGCCGGGGGGGGATCTGTAACTGCCCCTGAAGCCCCTCTCCACGGGGGGCGGGATCTGTAACTGCCCCTGAAGCCCCTCCCCCCAGGGGGCGGGATCTGTAACTGCCCCTGAAGCCCCACCCCCCAGGGGGCGGGATCTGTAACTGCCCCTGAAGCCCCTCCCCCGGGGGGGCGGGATCTGTAACTGCCCCTGAAGCCCCTCCCCCGGGGGCGGGATCTGTAACTGCCCCTGAAGCCCCACCCCCCTGGGGGGGATCTGTGGTTCTGGGGTCCAAACGGACTGAAAAATACTACCGTCTCCTCCAGAACCACCTGGAGTTCTGCTGGTGTTCTGTTGATACACCTGATGGCTTCATGTTTACCTGACCTGGTTTAGTGGGTCCAGCTGGGTCCTCCTCTGAAACTCATTAAAATCTTTCCAGATGTTTTAGTTTTTATAAACTAAAGGTTGTAAACTAAAGAACCACAGGAAGTTGTTTGACACCGTAGTTTTCAAAATAAAAGCCTGCGGTAGTTTTCAAAATAAAAGCCTGCGGTAGTTTTCAAAATAAAAGCCTGCGGTAGTTTTCAAAATAAAAGCCTGTGGTAGTGTCTGGGAAGGTTTCGAGGCAGAAGCAGGTCTGTTTATAGTGGAACAAACAGTTAAAGGCTTAAATAAATCCAACCGTTTATTTCTTAGAGGTGTGTAATAATACTTTTACTTTCCTGATTTTTGTGAACAGTTTAATGACTTTTACTGAAGTACTTTTCTCCTCAGTGATTTTTACTTTTACTTAGTTATTTTAGTCCAAGTACTTGATAAAACTTAAATAACTCAGATCGATCTGCTTCAGTGAAGGTTCACAGAAAGGAAATGAAGCGTCGCCATCTAGTGGTGCTGTGAGGAACTACAGCAGTTTATTACAGGGTGAGGGCAACAAAATACTGAGTTTAAAATATATACAGAGTCCTGATAAGTCCTGAACAGGTTAAACAAAATTCTGACGAATAAATAAATAAATAAATAAATAAATAAATAAATAAATAAAGCCTGGATCTGGAGGTCCTGAACTCTGTGGATC